GCCGCGGCTTATCATCTCCGGGACGACGTGGCTTGTCATCCCCAGGACGGCCAGGTTTGTCATCACCAGGACGTCCAGGTTTGTCATCTCCAGGACGACTGGGTTTGTCGTCTCCGGGACGCCTCGGTTTCTTGTCTCCTGGGCGTCTCGGTTCGTCATCTTCAGGCTCGTCAGGGAATTGAGATGTATACCGCGAGGTAACTGTTGTTTTCGTTGTCTGAACAGTGTAGCGGTCAGGGCTTTCAGGACGGTCCCTGTCGGGAGACTCGTCCCCAGGACGATCAGGTCTCCCCTTTGACGGTCTTCTCGGGGAGCCATCCTCAGGGGTTTTGTCACCAGGGCGCCTGGGCTTATCATCACCAGGACGACGCGGCTTGTCATCCCCAGGACGTCCAGGTTTGTCATCTCCAGGACGACCTGGCTTATCATCACCAGGACGACGCGGCTTGTCATCTCCGGGACGACCTGGCTTGTCATCGCCAGAGCGACCAGGCCTGTCATCGCCAGGAAGCCGCGGCTTATCATCTCCGGGACGACGTGGCTTGTCATCCCCAGGACGGCCAGGTTTGTCATCACCAGGACGTCCAGGTTTGTCATCTCCAGGACGACTGGGTTTGTCGTCTCCGGGACGCCTCGGTTTCTTGTCTCCTGGGCGTCTCGGTTCGTCATCTTCAGGCTCGTCAGGGAATTGAGATGTATACCGCGAGGTAACTGTTGTTTTCGTTGTCTGAACAGTGTAGCGGTCAGGGCTTTCAGGACGGTCCCTGTCGGGAGACTCGTCCCCAGGACGATCAGGTCTCCCCTTTGACGGTCTTCTCGGGGAGCCATCCTCAGGGGTTTTGTCACCAGGGCGCCTGGGCTTATCATCACCAGGACGACGCGGCTTGTCATCTCCAGGACGTCCAGGTTTGTCATCTCCAGGACGACCTGGCTTGTCATCCCCAGGACGACGTGGCTTGTCATCCCCAGGACGCCGCGGCTTGTCGTCTCCAGGACGACCGGGCTTGTCGTCACCAGGACGTCCAGGTTTGTCATCTCCAGGACGACCGGGTTTATCGTCTCCGGGACGTCTCGGTTTCTTGTCTCCTGGGCGCCTCGGTTCGTCATCATCAGGCTCGTCAGGGAATTGAGATGTATACCGCGAAGTAACTGTCGTCTTCGTTGTCTGAACAGTGTAGCGGTCGGGGCTTTCAGGACGGTCCCTGTCGGGAGATTCGTCCGCAGGACGATCAGGTCTCCCCTTTGACGGTCTTCTCGGGGAGCCATCTTCCGGGGTTTTGTCACCAGGGCGCCTGGGCTTATCATCACTAGGACGACGCGGCTTGTCATCTCCAGGACGTCCAGGTTTGTCATCTCCAGGACGACTGGCGTCCCCAGGACGACGTGGCTTGTCATCCCAGGACGAGTCGTCTCCAGGACGCCTTGTCATCCCAGGACGACGTGGCTTGTCATCCCAGGACGCCGCGGCTTGTCGTCTCCAGGACGACCTGGTTTGTCGTCACCAGGACGTCCAGGTTTGTCATCTCCAGGACGACCGGGTTTATCGTCTCCGGGACGTCTCGGTTCTGTCTCCGGGGCGTCTCGGTTCGTAATCTTCAGGCTCGTCAGGGAATTGAGATGTATACCGCGAGGTAACTGTCGTCTTCGTTGTCTGGACAGTGTAGCGATCAGGGCTTTCAGGACGGTCCCTGTCGGGAGACTCGTCCCCAGGACGATCAGGTCTCCCCTGTGACGGTCTTCTCGGGGAGCCATCTTCTGGGGTTTTGTCACCAGGGCGCCTGGGCTTATCATCACCAGGACGACGCGGCTTGTCATCCCCAGGACGTCCAGGTTTGTCATCCCCCGGACGCCGTGGCTTGTCATCTCCAGGACGACGCGGCTTGTCATCTCCAGGACGACCCGGTTTGTCATCCCCAGGACGTCCAGGTCTGTCATCTCCAGGACGACGTGGCTTGTCGTCGCCAGGACGCCGTGGCATGTCATCCCCAGGACGGCCCGGTTTGTCATCACCAGGACGTCCAGGTTTGTCATCTCCAGGACGACCCAGTTTATCGTCTCCGGGACGTCTCGGTTTTTTGTCTCCCGGGCGCCTCGGTTCGTCATCTTCAGGCTCGTCAGGGAATTGAGATGTATACCGCGAAGTAACTGTTGTCTTCGTTGTCCGGACAGTGTAGCGATCAGGGCTTTCAGGACGGTCCCTGTCGGGAGACTCGTCCCCAGGACGATCAGGTCTTCCCTTTGACGGTCTTCTCGGGGAGCCGTCTTCAGGGGTTTTTTCACCAGGGCGCCTGGGCTTATCATCACCCGGGCGCCGCGGTTTGTCATCTCCAGGACGGCCTGGCTTATCATCACCAGGACGACGTGGCTTGTCATCCCCAGGACGGCCTGGTATGTCATCACCAGGACGTCCAGGTTTGTCATCTCCAGGACGACCGGGTTTGTCGTCTCCAGGACGTCTCGGTTTCTTGTCTCCTGGGCGTCTCGGTTCGTCATCTTCAGGCTCGTCAGGGAATTGAGATGTATACCGCGAGGTAACTGTTGTTTTTGTTGTCTGAACAGTGTAGCGGTCAGGGCTTTCAGGACGGTCCCTGTCGGGAGACTCGTCCCCAGGACGATCAGGTCTCCCCTTTGACGGTCTTCTCGGGGAGCCATCCTCAGGGGTTTTGTCACCAGGGCGCCTGGGCTTATCATCACTAGGACGCCGCGGCTTCTCATCTCCAGGACGTCCAGGTTTGTCATCTCCAGGACGACCTGGCTTATCATCACCAGGACGACGAGGCTTGTCATCCCCAGGACGGCCTGGCTTGTCGTCTCCAGGACGACGCGGCTTGTCATCCCCAGGACGTCCAGGTTTGTCATCTCCAGGACGACGTGGCTTGTCATCCCCAGGACGCCGCGGCTTGTCATCCCCAGGACGCCCAGGTTTGTCATCTCCAGGACGACGTGGCTTATCATCACCAGGACGACCTGGTCTGTCATCCCCAGGGCGTCCGGGCTTGTCGTCACCAGGACGACGTGGCTTGTCATCGCCAGGACGCCTTGGCTTGTCATCCGCAGGACGTCCAGGTTTGTCATCTCCAGGGTGTCCGGGTTTATCATCTCCGGGACGTCTCGGTTTCTTGTCGCCTGGGCGCCTCGGTTCGTCATCTTCAGGTTCGTCAGGGAATTGAGATGTATACCGCGAGGTAACTGTTGTCTTCGTTGTCTGGACAGTGTAACGGTCAGGGCTTTCAGGACGGTCCCTGTCGGGAGACTCGTCCCCAGGACGATCAGGCCTTCCCTTTGACGGTCTCCTCGGAGAGCCATCATCAGGGGTTTTGTCACCAGGGCGCCTGGGCTTATCATCACCAGGACGACGCGGCTTATCATCCCCAGGACGGCCTGGTTTGTCATCCCAAGGACGTCCAGGTTTGTCATCTCCAGGGCGACGTGGCTTGTCATCTCCAAGGCGACGTGGCTTGTCATCACCAGGACGACCAGGCTTGTCATCTCCAGGGCGACGTGGCTTGTCATCACCAGGACGTCCAGGTTTGTCATCTCCAGGACGATCGGGTTTGTCGTCTCCGGGACGTCTCGGTTTCTTGTCTCCGGGACGTCTCGGTTCGTCATCTTCAGGCTCGTCAGGGAATTGAGATGTATACCGCGAGGTAACTGTTGTCTTTGTTGTCTGGACAGTGTAACGGCCAGGGCTTTCAGGGCGGTCCCTGTCAGGAGACTCGTCCCCAGGACGATCGGGTCTTCCTTTTGACGGTCTCCTCGGGGAGCCATCTTCAGGGGTTTTGTCACCAGGGCGCCTGGGCTTGTCATCACCAGGACGACGCGGCTTATCATCACCAGGACGGCCTGGTTTGTCATCCCCAGGACGACGTGGCTTGTCATCCCCAGGACGCCGCGGCTTATCGTCCCCAGGACGGCCTGGTTTGTCATCCCCAGGACGACGCGGCTTATCATCCCCAGGACGGCCTGGTTTGTCATCTCCAGGACGTCCAGGTTTGTCATCTCCAGGACGACGCGGCTTGTCATCCCCAGGACGGCTTGGTTTGTCATCCCCAGGACGTCGAGGTCTGCCATCTCCAGGACGACCGGGTTTATCGTCTCCGGGACGTCTCGGTTTCTTGTCTCCTGGGCGTCTCGGTTCGTCATCTTCAGGCTCGTCAGGGAATTGAGATGTATACCGCGAGGTAACTGTTGTCGTCGTTTTCTGGACAGTGTACCGGTCAGGGCTTTCAGGACGGTCTCTGTCAGGAGACTCGTCCCCAGGACGGCCAGGCCTTCCCTTGGACGGTCTCCGCGGAGAACCATCTTCAGGGGATTCTTCACCGGGACGTCGGGGCTTGCCATCTCCAGGACGACCGGGTTTGTCGTCATCCGGTCGACCTGGCTTTTGGTCACTCGGACGACTTGGTTTTTTATCACTGGGACGACCTGGTTTGTCGTCCCCGGGACGACGTGGCTGATCCTCTCGGGGTCGTTTCGGCTGGTCGTCTTCAGGCCGTCCAGGTCGGTCATCTCCGGGGCGACTGGGTCTCTTGTCGCCCGGCCGTCTCGGTTCGTCATCTTCAGGCTCGTCCGGGAACTGAGATGTGTACCGTGAAGTGACCGTCGTCTTTGTTGTCCGGACAATGTGACGGTCAGGACTTTCGGGACGGTCTTCGTCGGGAGACTCGTCACCTGGACGGCCCGGCCTTCCCTTTGACGGTCTCCTTGGTGAGCCTCTTCAGGAGATTTTTCCCCGGGGCGCCTTGGCCTGCCATCACGAGGACGTCCAGGTTTATCGTCGTCCGGATGTCCCGGTTTGTCGTCTCCTGGACGCCTCGGTTTGTCATCTCCAGGGCGCCTGGACTTGGGTTTTTCCTCGTCGTGACCGGGCTGTTTGGATATTTTTGACAGATAGCGGTCGGTGATCGAGGACTGACGTTTCGTGGTCGACTTCGGTTCCTCGTCATCCGGTTGCCCGGGGCGGTCCGGCCGTTCACCTGGCCGCCGCGCCTGCGGGCTGCGCTGCCGGCCGGGTTCCCTCGGCTCGCGGGGCTCCTTATCTTCGGGGGCGCCCGGCTCGCGCGGCTCTGATCCGCTCGTATACCGCGTGGTGTGGACCGTGCGCGTGGTGCGTGACGTGAAACGCTCCGGCTCGTCCGGTCGCGGATGCTTGGGCTCCTTCTCATCGGGCCGGTCGCCCGGACGCTTGGGCCGTCGCTCGTCCTCAGGTTCCATGGGCTCATCCGGCTCCTCCACCGGCTCGCCGTCGACGTAGCGCACCACGCGCGTGGTGGTGGTGCGCGTGGTGCGCGTGGTCGCGCCGTCGTCGTCGGTGCGCGTGGTGTAGTAGCGTGTGGTGAAACGCTCCGGCTCGTCGTCGGGCTCCGCGCCCGGCTCGCGCACGCTCGTCACATAGCGCGCGTGTAGTGAACTGGGGCGTCTTCGTGACGTAGCGGCGTCGTTGTGTGGTGAACTCGGTGTGGTAGCGCGGCTCGTCGTCGGCAGGCTCGTCCTCGGTCGGCGCGTCGAACACGATCTCCGTGTAGCTGCGCGGCTGGCCTGGCTGGCGTGGCTTATAGATGCGGATCACGTCTGTCTGGTCGATGATGCGTCGGATCTCGATCACGCGCGTGCGGTGCACCACGGTGCGCGTCGTCTTCTCGATCTTGAGGATGCCGCGCTCGATGATTTCCTGCAGCGGGATGCGACGGTCGCCATCCAGCATGCGCCCCCACGAGTCCAGCGTGCCCTTCTCCAGCGCCTCCTCCAGGTCCAGCGGCTGGGCGCGCGGCTTCTTGGGCTCCCGGAACGTTGCTGAGGTCTTGTCAATGATGCGTAGTGTCACGCACTGCTCGAAGGTGATGACGCGGTCAGAGCCGGGGAACACGAACGTGCCCGACACTGGGTCCAGGTAATTCTTGCGGATCACCTCGTCCAGATACCAGCCGTCCTCGGGCATCTCGACCTCGATCGTGTCTATCGGCTCCTCCTCCTCAGGCGCGCGGCGGCCCGGTTCCGTCTCGTCGCCCGGCTGGCGCGTGAAGAACTGGATCTTGCTGCGCACGTCGTCCTCCGGTCGCAGCCGCTTCTTGTCCGGGCTCTTCTCGCGCTCCAGCGGGTGCTTCGCCGAGCTCACCTGCGTCCGGACGGACTTGAACTCGGGCTCCTCGTCCATCGGCTCCACGCGCCGGCGCGGCTCCGGGTCCTCCTTTGGCTCCGGCTTCTTCTTGCGCGGAGTCTGCTCGCCCGGGCGAGGCCTACGCCGCGGCGCCTCCGGCTCCTCGTCGTCGATCTCGTAGTACTTGCGGGGCTTCCCCGGCTGTTCCGGCTCGTACACGCGAATGCGGTCGGGTTCGCCGACGATCTCGATTATCTCGACCGTCCGACGAGCTTGAGCTTGACGCGCGTGCGGCGCACCTCCGTGCGCACGTACTTTCTCTCGATCGCCTCCTCCATGGTGTACTGCTTGCCACGTACTATGTAGCGACCCTGGTGGTCAAGCACTCCCTTGTTCAGCGCCTCCTCGATGTCCAGCGGCTTCTTGGTATCGGGGTCTTCCACTTGCGCTGACTTGCGGTCGATGATGCGCAGCGTCAAGCACTCCTCGAACGGAATCACGCGGTCCGCCTCGGGGAAAGCGAAGATGCAGCGCCGTGGGTCATAGTACTTCATTCGGATGACCTCGTCGAGGTACCAGCCGTCCTCGGGCATCTCGAGCACAGTGGTCGTCTCCTCCTCCTCCTCCTCCTCGACGGTCGGGTGGTCCGGGTGGCCCGTCTGCTTGCGTCGGCGCACCGTGCGCTTCATCACATACTTGCGCACCGTCACCGTCTGCGTCTCCTCCACTTCCTCCCTGGGCCGGCGCGCCACGCGCTTGTAGATCTTGGTCGTCGTCTCCGGCTCGGCCTCGTAGCTGGAGCGCACGACCCCCGCGTGGTGCGCGTGGTGCGGCCGAAGCCGTCGTCTGGCGCGGCCGGCGAGCCGGGCGCCTCCTGGCCGGGGCTGGGGCTCTTCTCGGCCGACCAATCGCGCAGCCGCTTCGGCGGGAGGAGCCGCGCTCGGGGGTCGGCCGCTTCTCGCCACTCCGCGTCACGTATGTGCGGTACGTACGCGTGGTGGTCGAGGTGGTCGAGCGCGGCGCGTACGGCCGGCCCGGCTCGTAGTCAGTCGGCACCTCCTCCAGCAGACCCTCCCGCACCGCCTCGTCCAGCGGCACCTTCTGCCCACTCGACGGCACGATGAAGATGTTGAGCGTCTCGTCGATGTAGCCGCGTCGCACGGCGTCGTCGAACGACATCGGCGTCGGGCGACCCTCCTGGCCCTGTGACGTCACGGTGACGTAGCGCTTGATCGTCTTGGTGACGGTGGCCGTGGTGACCGTGATGTTCAGCATGCTCTTCAGCAGGCACCCTCGGGCGTAATGTGGCGCCGGTGCACCCGCCTCCTCCAGCGGCATGGGCTCCAGCGTCTCCGGGTCGGTGACCTGCCCCGTCTGGGGGTCCAGCCGCGTGCGCAGCACCGCCCGGAAGACGGTCAGCTCGTGGCCGCCCTCATGGATGCCGATCGGTCGCGCCAGCATCTCGTTAATCTGGGGCTGGATGTAGCGCTGTGTGACCGCCTCGTCGAGCGGAATCGCGCGGCCGCTCGAGTCGCGGAAGTCGCCTCGTGCGGTTGACGATGCCCTTGGTCAGCGCCACGTTCAGCCTCACGTAGTCGCCCGTGTCCGGGTCCTTGATGCCGTCGATGTCGAAGATGGTCTTGGTGGCGCGACGACGTGATCATGCCGCGGTTCAACCGCCTCGTTCAGCGAGAACACGTCGTCCGTCTGCGGGTCGCGGAACTTGCCTCGCCACAGATGATGCTCTCGGCGAAGGCCTCCGGCAGCGTCAGCAGCGCGCGTCGAAAGGTTCGTCACGCACTTGAGCTGCGTGTCCACGATGCCGCGACGCACCGCCTCCAGCAGCGGCACGCGCTCCTTCGTCACCAGGTCGTAGATGGTGCCAGACGTCTCCATCCTGCCGCCATCGTGGATATCCTTTAGCGTCAGCGGGCGCCCGAGCATGTACTGCTTGACCGCGTCGATTAGAAGCATCCGCTTGCGCGTCTTCTTGTCGATGAAGCGGCCTTGCTCCGGCTTGATGATGCCCTCCTTGATGGCGTCATTGACGGTCAGCTTGACGCCCGTCTCCGTATTCAGCACCTCGTGGATGTTGGGGTTGATGAGGCCGCGGCTGATGGCATCCTGCAGCTGCAGGCGCTCGCCGTTGTTTCGGTCCTCGAACTTGCCGGACACGTAGTCGACCAGACCCTGCTGGACGGCGTCCGACAGCGAGACGCCGCACATGCGTGTGTAGTCGTGCGCCAGCGAGAGCAGGCCACGCTCGAACGCCTCCGGCAGTGGGTAGCGGCGGCCCGACTCGGTGTCGGTAACCTCACCGGTCGTCGTGTCCACCTGACCGGCGATCACCGCCTCCAGCAGGGTCGGCCTGCGCGGCGCGTCACTTACCTGCCGCGGCCGCTCGCCGCGCGCGCCGCTCGGCCCCACGAACGCGCTCAGCTGCGGGTCCATCAGGCCGTCCATCATGGCCTCCAGCAGCGTGAGCGGCCGGTCCGAGCGGCCGTCGAACACGCCCGACTGCTGGTGCATCAGCTGTCGCAGCGCCGGGTCCAGCAGACCCATGCCGACCGCCTCGTCGACCGAGTGGCGCGCGCCGGTCGACGGGTGCAAGAAGCAGCCGCCGCGCGGCTCGAAGAGGCGCCGCTCCGCCGCCTCGCCCAGCGTCAGCGTCTCGCCGGTCTCCGGATGCGTGACGCCGGCCGACTCGAGCAGCGCGCTGGCGGCGCCGCCCGCCTCGATCCGGTAGGAGCGCGTGCGCACCTCGCGCGTCACCGTCTCCGAGCCGTCGGGCGCGCCGCTCGAGTACGAGTACGAGGTGGTGCTCATCGGCTCGGCGCCGCCCTCTGTCACCATCGACGTGACATAGTTGCCCTCCTGGTCGGGCTCCGTGGAGCCGTGCGACGACGTGACATATCTGCGGAGAGGCGAGCGCGCGTCAGACGGCGGGCACCGGCAAACAACACGCGCAAGTCTGACAGCAGCCGCCGGCAAGAAGCACAAATGTCGCTCGCTGCCACAGTCGGCGACAGCAAAAGGCATTGCACTGACAGGTGACAATAAAATGCACGTCAATGAGCTCACAAAGACGGCGATCTGACACATGTCAGCGCGCGACGTGACAATGATCTGACACAAGTCACTGGGGCCAAATAGCCGACGGTCAGACGCACGGCGGCCCGCTGTCAGCACGTCCGCACCAACAGCTCGCACCGGCATAACAGCACGCTGCTTCAATTTATCCTCATAACACTTGACCTTCGTGGCTTTCGCCCATGGTGGAGACGGAGAGCCGCAAACAACAACATCAATTGAGCGCGTCAGATTAACAGGCTGTTATCAATCGTGCAGCAATGCTGGCCAGAGACAGTGCTAGCTTCCCGTCGTAACCAACAATAAACGAGCACACGCATTACATCACCCATCCCCGCGGCTTCAACCCACTGATTCATGGCCGGTGGAATGTCATCGGGGGGGGGGGGGGGGGCGGGGGCCGCTCACTGACCGCACAAGTGACACCGGCAACACCTCACAGGGATCGCCAGCAAAAACGCATCAGAACTCCAGCGTCCGCCGACGGTGAGCGCCATCATGACGCAGCGCGGCAGCACGGCTCCACGTGCCACGCCTCGCGCCGGCAGCTCGCACGCTCCCAGACGCCGCGCGCGAGTCCCTGCTGTCGCTCACGGCGCCACGCGGCGGGACGCGGCCGGCGCGCCGAGAAACAGCCGCTGCGTTGGGAGCGCGGCCAGCTGAGGGCACAGGATGGCTGGCGGTTCGACAGAGCACCGGCGGCTTCGGAGGGGCCGCGCGGGCGGTGCTGTCGCGATGGCACCGATATCGCGACCATCGGTGCAGGAAGTGGCGAATACCGAGCGAAAACAGACGTCATAAGCCGGTCTATGCACGCTGCATGCAAGGCGCGGCGCTTGCATGAATGCATGCTGCACAGCCAATGAAAAGAAACGCCAGCGAACAAACAGGAAACCCCCTCAGCAGCACCATATAGATACAGCGTGTGGGCGGGCCTTAACCTCACCAGACGACGGCGAGTCCACACGGGCGCGGCGAAAACAAATCTGCGCGGACGTGCCCAGTGGTCGGATCATCACCGTCGCCGCCTCTCCGGCCGTAAACTTGTCAAATCACCGCCTCACAAGGGCGCCTCGATGCCGGCAGAACCGGTTCGGCCGGAGGATGCGGCGGGGGCCGTTTCTCCATTCTGGAGCCGAGCGACGAGCTCGAAAGCAAATCCTGCACGGGCAAATCGGCCACATATGTCGAAAGCCAGTCCTCCGCAAAACCCGCTCCGGAGGGATTAACAAAGCGTACATGACCGAATCAAATACCGGAGGAGCTCAGAGTCACGTTCTATTTCCGCTGAGCCATTGCGGATTTATGCCTACATCCCGCCTTCTTGGTGGCAGCGGTGGGACGTGTTGCCTCCCCACGGCACCCCCGGTCAGAGAGGATCTCCGACAAGCACCAGCAGCACGTGCCTCACGTCGGCCCGCCGCCGGCCAGAGGGCGCCCGTGCTTTCACCGGGACAGGGGCGGTCGTCCGGCGCGAGACGCGCTCTGCGGCCCTCCCCGCCCCCGGGCCGCGCTCATTCATATTGGGGGCGCGCGAGGCGGCCGGGATGTCGCCCTCCTCCACTGTGGGCGGCACCAGCTCGGGTTGGGACGCGAAAGCCGTTCACTACGGTCGGACGCCGGATGGCGCAGTTTGCCACGAGCTTGCTAAATCGTGCCAACTTGGACGAAGCGCGTCGTTCAACGTAAGATGCTTCTCAAACGGCGTGTTCCCTCCAGGGGGTGGAGGGTTCCATGCATAAAGAGGGACTGCAGTTTCCCCGTTCTTTTCAAAAAAGGTCCATCAATGCATTGCACACTTCGCAATACATTGGTGCATCGCAGTGCATTATGCACTGCAATATTCGCAACGCTTAATGTTCGTCACCTCTTGCAGAAGCAGGCAAGCGCCATGCATAGTCTCATCCATACTAGCCGTTTTCGTGCAATCAAAAAGTATGTGTGGATATAATCTGAACAAAATTAGGGATTCAGGCTGTCACTCATAACGAGGAGCCCTAAAGGAGTTCCAACTTACAATAACAGAGAGGTTATGTTCAGGAATAGATTAAGCAGAGCTATCAAATCAGTCGTGCCCTTGAAGGGTTAGGACACAATTATCACATTTTCTACCCACATCTCAGCAAGCACAACGCGCCGATAAACCATCTCAAAGTGTGTCACCGCATCGCGCATTGGTAAAGATGCTCACATCCAGTCACGTAATGTCAATATTGACAGGCCGGCGGCGCTCGAGCCGCCGCCGCGCCGCGGTTCTCACTATCGGCGCGGTCAGAGCGCGCCACTAGCTCGCTGCCGCCGGCGTGAGTCACACCGACCGGATACAAATAAACAGATCGGAGGGCGTGTTTTTGTCCCCCGGATCAATGCACCGTGGCTAAACACGCGCGAAGGGCCGGTCATCAATCGGTTCTGCTGTCGTTAATCACACGTGCCTGGCGCGAACCGGGGCGAGGCGAGCGCGCCGCGCCCGCCGCCCCGTCAGCTGTTGCTGGCCGCGAGCGCGGGACGGCACGCCACAAGGCCAAGCCCTTCCTGCCGGTCCATGCAACGCGATATTAGGCTTTTTGATGAACCAATTCCGGTTGCCTTTGAGGCCGGCACAAGTGTGCTCCTACCGCTTCCACCCGACGGAATATCATCGCGCCCAGCCCCCCGGGCGGCCCTCGCTCTGCCGGGGGAGCCTCGCGCGCCGGCAGCGTCGGCGCGCCGGCCGGCAGTTCGACCTTGGATTCGGCGCGGCGGCGGCTGCAGGGCGCGCGCCGGCGCGGTACAAGGCTGCGCCCGGCGGGCGGCGCCGGCCGAGCTCCGGCCCGCCATGGCGCGCCGACGGAGCGCACGCGTGACGCGGGCTGGCGCAGCCCGCGCGTCGGGCACGCGGCCCCTCCAGCGCGCAGGGGGACAGCGGCTGGACCGGCGGCGTTGCGGCCGGCCGGGCCGGCGCTGCTGCCGCCGCCGGGCGATGATGTCATGCGCCGGCCGGTCATGCCGGCCGCTGCACCTGAGCGCAGGGGCCGCGCCGGGAGAGCGGCACCACCACGCCACCTGTAAGCCCCAGACTGACCGGCCGGCCGGCGCGGCTGACCCGGCCTTATCGGACGACCTGCCCGCCCCTCGCAGCGCGACCGAGCGGCGAAAGCGGCCCGCGACAGCAGCTGTGATTGCCCGGCGCCCGGCCGGCGGCTGGCACGCAGGGCGCGCGCCGACGCTGGCTGCCACAGCGAGCGGCCGTGTCGACCCACGCCACGCCACGTCCCAGCCCGGCGCCACGCCGCGGCCCCGGACGTCAGGCGGCTGACGCGCTGATGAGGGGGGCTCCGGCCGCGTGTACGGCGGAGATGGTGACGGGGACAGCGGGGCCCACCGGGGGCCGCGGATGCTGATGGACGTCATTAGGCCTTAACGACACCGCAGCTGTAAATTACGGCCAGCTCGTCACGAGAATTTAACGAGGTAAGGACCGGTTCGAAACCTACACAAAACGATCTGATTTGTAGGAAGAGCCTAATTTCACGTAGAAGCGCAACGGGATGCAAAGAAGTATCCTACAAACAAACGAAAAAGCTTCAGATGGCAATCTGTCTACACCCGACACCCTACAAGTCAGCAAATAACTGGAAACATCTAGGCCAGGCACATGCACCCTGTCTTCTGGGGGACCACAGGAACAAGCTGCGTTGTCTGCTAAAATGCGTTGCTGACAACGAGGATTCTGAGGATTCTGAGGATTCTGAGGACTCTGACGGCAGTGGCGTAGCCAGAGATGGCCAGGCTCAGCACGAAATCGTCTCTGACGCCGCCAATAAGTCACGCCTGTGCACGAGCCGGCGTCACATCGCCACATGGCCGGCAGCACCCCTCAGTCCCGCACCGGGAGAGCGGCCGCCGCGGAGAACCGCGGCCTAACTGTGAGGGTCCGCACCAGCGGCAGCACTGGGGTAAGGGGGCGGGAACATCGGCGGCGACGGTGAAGTGAGCCCCTCCCAACATCGACCCCTCAAATCACTGTAAGGAGGTCCCTCGGTATAGCCCCCACGCATCATCCTTCCAAGCTTGCTCTTCCGCTGCAGGCGGACTCTCAGCTACCTGCCCCTGCCGTCCGAGGTTCCACATCACCGGGACAGCACGCCGCCAGCGCAGCGGAGCGTCCGCCAGACGACAAACCCCACATACTGGCCTCGGGGAGTCCCCGTGACCGCGGATCAGGCGGCCGCCACGGGGAGCGGCTCTGACGCGGCCGGGCACCGCTCGCTGGCCACGGGCGCCGCTCTGACGCGGCCCGGCGCCGCTCGCTGGCCACGGGCGCCGCTCTGACGCGGCCGGCGCCGCTCGCTGGCCACGGGCGCCGCTCTGACGCGGCCGGGCACCGCTCGCTGGCCACGGGCGCCGCTCTGACGCGGCGGCACCGCTCGCTGGCCACGGGCGCCGCTCTGACGCGGCCCGGCACCGCTCGCTGGCCACGGGCGCCGCTCTGACGCGGCCGCGCCGCTCGCTGGCCGGGCGCCGCTCTGACGCGGCCGGGCACCGCTCGCTGGCCACGAGGAGCAGTTCTGACGCGGCCCGGCGCCGCTCGCTGGTCAGCCGTCGGTCCACGGCCACCGCCCTGTGCCGTGCTGCGGTAACCGCAGCACCGCAGCATGAGCGAGCCGGGCCTCCCGACCCTCAAGTGTGAGGCGGCGTCTCCCACGAGCGCCGCCGGCCGTCGACGCTTCAAGGTGACCGCGCCGGCCGGCGGCGGCGCCGACGCCGGGGCGTCACGGAGGCGGCGGCACGCCTGGTCGCTGTGCCGGTCCCAAGCGTCGTTGGGGGCGGGGGTGGGGGGCG